TGTGTGTGTGTGTGTGTGTGTGTAATATATCCAAACTTAATCCTAAACTGCTGGATTATTTTTTGGGGTTATTATCTGGACTATTGACAAAGAGCATGGTTCAGGTTTCATTCTGATTGGATATTTTCTTTCAGAATTTTTTACTTTTTATTTTTGACATATGAAACTGTAGTTATTTTCGTTTGATTACTGTAATAATAAAATGATATATTAAAGGAATACCATTTTATTTCTAATTTAGAAAAAAATAAAATAAATTATATTAATTAAATTATCAACAACTGTAAGGCAGATAATAGTGAGGGCTTATCAGACCAATGATGGGCACAAACGCTCAGGAATCAAAGTGAAAACATTTAACAAACACAAAAATGCCTACATAATTATGGAAATGAAAAAAACCCAAAATGCATTTCAGTTGGTATTAACGAAAGGTTTTAGTATATTTAAAATTATACAAGGTAAAGATAAACCTAAAACTATGCCCAAAGCTATACAATATAAAGATGAAAATGCTGTTATAAGTGTATGAGCAGTAAGCATTATCAGTGCAGACAGCAGTGGTGTGCCGTGACATTTGACGATAGGGAAGCTGTGTTTCTGTAAGAAGCCAACTTCCAGGGGCAATCAGGTAATTGCACTTTAGTGATGGTCTAGGGTCCATTCGTATTCATTTGTTCAATAAACCAATAAAAACTGTAGTCTTCTCTAAATGTATTTTTAATATCACAATTACATTCTGAATCGCTAGCCACAATATAAGGGCTAAAATTATAAATAAAATAATAAAAACTTACTTGGTGAAATAAAATGTGTGGTGGATATACTTACCTGGTACAAAATATTATTCAATCGTATGAATATACTTTTAAAGAAAGTTATAATTAAATATAGCTTTGTAAAGAAAGGTACAGTACATAAAAATAACATAAAATATTCTTTACATTTTTAAATTTTAAAACAATCCACTTAGTCAAATAGCTCCTTACCAGTGGCTAATGATTGGCATCAGAGATGATCCTGCAATGTATGCATGCATGCGGGCTGCCAAATCCTGGGGGTGCCGATACCAGTCAATGTCAAATGCCTGTTTAGTCGCATCACTAGTATACCTCAAAGGATGTGACAGGGTTGTTGTAAATTTTAAACGTTTCTCAAAACATAGCTGTAAAAATCCAAATATGTTAAACTTAATAGATTGTCCATTGTTTGTTTTCTAACTAATTTGTTTTAGGACCAGGTGGTGTCCACAGAAATTTCCAAAATTTACTTTTCAGTCACTCTCATTGAACTGGAAAAATTTCTTTCTTTATTACATTTAATATTACTAAGAAATCAGTCCCCACTCTACTTGGCTAAAGATTGATACGGTTAAGCTTTTGTTTAAATATTCTGGCTCTTTCAGCAGGGTTTTATTTTTGTCCCTAATTCCCTAATCTCTTAATTATTTAATTACTTCTTAAGTAGAAATAAGTTGAAACCGGTTACTTTGTACTCGAATATTTGTAGTCTTGGGAAAGAAGTGGAAAGACAAATTTTTATGACAACGGATACATAAATTGTAAATTTAAGGAAAATAAATTCTAGAGCTATCTCTCATTCATTAAATTTAGTTGTAAATGATGCTACCAAAGTAACAGTTAATTTTTTAACCTTGTACAAGAATTGTACATGTTTTTTTTTTTTACATCCCCTTAAAGATGGGACATACAAAATCGTAATATCACTGGTTTAACATTGAAATCCATAAATAATATAAGATGGGAGAGCAGAATAAAAGCAGAATAAATATATCAAATATTTTAATGGCTTTTTTTTAACTCCTGTCAACTATACAGAACTATCATAAAAACATACCAGTAAATTCTTATAGGTTAGGTTAAGTTATAAATCTACTCATGATTCACATAATCAGGTGAGGGCAGCCAAATATCTAGCAGGCAGGCAGCTAACAGCCCAAAACCAGTCCTGGATAGAATCATTAGAAGCGTTATGTGTGTAGCTTCCACCAGCTAAACCGGGTGAGATTGGTGCTCTGTAAAACGCATGTACGAATGAGTATAATCTGGCTGTTTGGAAGCTGACAATACAGCGCTTCCATCTGCCACTGATATTCGAGTATACAGTAGCAATCTTGTTGTTTTTTTCACATGTAGTATAGAAATTTGTAATAAGATACATAATGCGGTTATAATAAAATATTAATTTTAATTATATGAAAATAATCACACAATATGTATTTATTTTTTAGAAAATATAAGGGAAACAGCGCTTCCACTGCTTCCAATGAGGCATGCCACTTGTAGACAAGTGTAACAAATCTTCATAATGTTGCAGGAATGTACAGTGTGCTGAACAAAACAGTTATAAGTTAGCCAATTATTGGTTTACAGTTATGAACTAAAGTTATACAGACAGATTATGTACATACCAAAAACAGTAAGATGACAGAGTGGCTGGGGCAATCATACCCAGTACCTTGCAATCAACAAGGTGCTGGGAGTGGTAGTAAGGGAAGTGTGTAAATAAATGCTCACTAACCTATCAAAATAATCCAGTGATTGTCAAAATTATCACCTTCCTAACATCTTCCACTTATTCCAAAGGACTTTATCAGAAAATTTGAATATTGGAATGTTGGTTTAATGTTTATTTGGACTCCAGAAACTGTTTAGATGAGTCAAGATATTTGTCAGCCATACTTAATTCACTGTGTAATTAATTTAAACCTAATTAATTTTTACTTTCTATTTGAATAAAACAGAAATTCTTGGTTCAATTTTTTAAAAATGTTTTAAGTTTGATAAATTTGTTTCTATTTATTTAAATTTGATCTATGGTGTCCAGCAGTGGAATAACCTGAGGACAAACTGAAGCTCTATTTTCAGTATAATACAGAATGTAGTTTGGCTATTGAAAAAGTTTTTTCTTTTTTTTTGGACTACTACTGCCCTGTGGAAACTAAAAGAGCCTTTTCTGTCAAGCCCATTATGGGTTGGCCAGGCCACAATGGAGAGGCATTTTTTGTTCTGGAGATCAAATTTGAAGATGATCATTAATGACAATCAAAAATGGCTAAATAAATTTCCTTAATATTTAAAACTTTTTGAATTATTTTTAATGATATCTGTCCCCAGTTTCTTTTGGGTACTGTTCATCATATTCTACTTAATTTTTGTAAAAATAAACTTATTTGTAATTTTTTAAAGTGAGTAGCTCAATGGTAATTGCTAAGAACTGTTTCTTTTATGATGTGCAAAGTGGAAACTAATTTTGATTTTGACAGCTACTTCACAAAACTGCATGGAAATTAGATTCATGAATATACATTAGATTATTTAGTATTTTACATAATAAAAATTTGCAACAGAATCCATTGAATTCTTACGAAGTTTTTATTGTAAAAAAATTAAAAAAACAAATGTTCTTTTGAGATTCTTTCCTAGACCATTAATATTATCTTCATATTTTAATTCACTTGAAATATAATTTAGATCATGGAAAATTCAATAAATTTTGTTATCAAGCAGAACTAAAATTGCATTTTTAAATGATGCAGGCTGGTCCAATTGATGGCTCATGGATCAAATGAGGCCTAACTGTGATTGATAACTGATTTTTTATCATTGTTATTTGGTATTTGTGTATCCAATAGCATTAGAATAAAATGGATATGTTCATAAATTCAATGCTTTTTAAGCATTTTAGCTAAACATTTAAATCTATCATTGTCAACAAAATGTTTTAAATTAGTCTTTATATCAAGTTTGTTGTTAGTTGTTAGTTTATTGTTAGTGTTTTACTTAACTTAGAGTTGCATTTGCTCAGTGATGTCAGCATATTATCACTTATTTGTATAGGTATATTATTGACTGAATATAATTGTCAAAAATGAAATTGTGTAAGTGAGACAACACTTACACAGTTTCATTTATCTAGTTGGACTCTTTGTTATTTAATTAAGAAGTTATCTTTTTTTCCCTGCATACTCAAAAAAAGGATTATGAAGTTAAAGCTCAAGAGTAGAATTTGATTCTGAAAAAAGTTGGACCACTCTAATCTAATAAATAAATAGATTTTTATTTTGTTCCTAGAAAAATCAATGTTAATTACTATAACACATGCATGCAGTGGCGTTATATGCCACTGCACATAAGTGTTATAGTAATAGTTTACATTGGCATGAAGTGCAAACTTATTATTTCAGTGTTAATAAAACTATTTTCTTTTTACTATATAATTTTTAATTTAAGGATAACTAAATATGTAATAATTTGATTACATTACTTCTAGTACTTCTGTGGCTGCACGCATCATGGCTAAATATGGTTTCAAAGAAGGACAAGGTCTTGGCAAACAAGAACAGGGAATGAGTCAAGCATTGCAAGTTGAAAAAACTAGTAAAAGAGGAGGAAAAATTATTCATGAGAAGGATATTCCAAAAGGTATTATTAATTTAAAGCTTTTATCTTAGAATAGTAAAGTTACATTAGTGAGTAGCAACATGAACATATTTAGGATGTCACATGAAGAACATGTTTGTTGAATTGTCTAAATGAACCTGATCCTATCACATGACATCGTCAACATGTTTATGTTGCTACGTGTATAATTCAAGATAGTTTGACCTACTGCAGCAAGTGACCATTAGTATCAGCATATCAGCACAGACCATGTCACTGGCACATGCCTGTGCTGATAATTCATAATGTGACAGTTGTTATGATTATATGATAAAAAAAAAATTTTCTTGTACATCTTTAAGTTTAAACCTTCTTGAGTAGCTGATGATTCAAAACTATTATTTATCATAACACAAAACAAAAAACTTGAGAGTAACCTACTTGGAGTAAAGACCCTTACAGTAAGTTTTGATAGATATTTTTTAAATTAAAGATAAACATTGTAGAAGTTATGTTTCTATTTCAAATTGTGTATTAAAAAGTTTAAACCATGTCTAATGTATTTAAAATATCAAATATTATTATTCTCAATATGAAAAATGCTTAAAATATTATATTACACATATTATATTCCTGGTAATTAAGCTATTTATTTTACAAGTTTCTATTCTCCATTGATACTATACTGCGTAGTAGAAGGTAACATAATGATAGTCATATTGAGATGAGAAGAGGAAAAGAAAAATTATTAAGCTAAGGATTAAGTAAATATGCAAATAATTTGAACGTTCTATTACTCACAAAAATAAATACTAAAATTTGTCTGTGACATGTATTGAAAAAATTAGGTTCAGAAAACAAATTGAAGTCATGTTGGACTATAAAATGTCAAGAAAGTAAGAAATTTATGGTCTAAAATTAGTGGAATTTGATATGATTTTAAGGTAATAGTTTTAGATAGTTTCAAACTTCAACTGTACGTATTTACTTATAGTTTTTAATTTAGATGTGGAGTTTAAAAGTAGTACCTCAATATCTGCCAATTAATTCTGCAAAAGATTTATTATGATGTTTTCCCGTTTTGATAAATTTCAGAAGTATTTTTGAGTTCAAAAACAATTAAACATTACTATTGTTATTGTTGAATATTTAACTTTAATTAAAAGAGCATATTAAAATGTATAATGAAATGTTTAGATTTATTAAGTTTCCTTTTTTAACCTAAATGAGGATTTGCTTTTAAAATGAATGCCTTATTTATAGATATGGAGTATTTCTCTGCATTATATAAACATTATGTATGAATTTAGTTTAAAAAGCAAATAAATTTAACTTTTTTCTTTCTCAGAACCACCTTCACCTCCACCAGAACCACCTCCACCACCTGCTCCAGTCAATATGAATCCGTCTGAATCAATTACAGAAATAATGAAAAATCCATCTAAAGTAGTTTTATTAAGGGTCTGTAAATTGATGATGATTTTTATAAATTTAATAAGATATTGCTATAAATTAACCTTTTAAGCTATAGGCTATATTTTTTAAATATTATATATATTTATAGAATATGGTTGGTCCAGGAGAAGTTGATGATGAATTAGAACCTGAAACAAAAGAAGAATGTGGAAAATATGGGGAAGTAGTAAAATGTCTCATATTTGAGATTGCGGCTAGTGATATTCCCGAAGAAGAAGCTGTTCGTATTTTTATTGAATTTAAACGATTGGAATCTGCAATTAAAGGTATTGTTAATTTTAATTTTGTATTGCAAAGAAAATATGGAAGTATTATCATTTACATAATAGAATATTAATATGTATTAATGACAGTTGAACCATATTTATACATTCATTTCCCATTTGTACATTTTTCACACAACTGAGAAATGTACATTAAATATTTTTTTCACAGTACTTTCTTCATTATAAAACACAATTATACATTTTTCATTTATATTTCTTATTTTTTGATATCCTACAGCACTTTTCTTATGCATTATTCATTTTGAAATGGAAAAATTTAAAGCAATTATAAAAAAAAATGAAAAAGTGAATTATGTATTCACTTCAGGTTAGTCCACACCGATAGTACAAACAGATAGTAAATGCAAACAGCAGAGCAAATAATGCATAATATGTGACACGGTTTCTGACAAATTCCTATTTAGGAAATCTCACTGTTAGTCTGACACATCAAAAATTTTTGCTTTCCACATTTTGTAGTGTGAACTAATTTCATTAAGTGAATAAAAATCACTTTCCATTTTCTCATTCATTTTTACTGTTCACTTTGAGTGTGAATTAACCTTTAGAATGACTCTTCATTCTTTTACATGACTGGAGTTTGGTGAAAGGAGACAACTGATATGACTGGATTTCATAAACTTGCCACTTTGTACTAGTTTTTGACAAGTCCATGAAAAAAACAAGAAACAAACATAATTTGATTAATGTTTTAAAAGTACATGACTTTGTATGAAAGGAAAAGTAACAGTATAATAAAAATTTTTTTTTAAATATATTAAACACATACAACATGAAACTTATTAGTTAAGAAGATTTTTAAATTCACGTAAGAAGATTTTTAAATTTAACTTATTAGTTAAGAAATTACACATAAAAATTCAGTTTTACAGTATTAATTTGTGCCTCATCATACTTTTGTGATGACTATAGTCACTCTGAAAGCAATTCAAAAATAGTTCCACTTGCATACTTTTCTCATTTATACAATATTTTTCTCAGTTCCTTTGAAAAACATATAAACAAGGTTTTACTGTATGTATAAATTAATATTCTTTCGTGATGCTAATATAATTTTAATAATAATAGTTTTTAATGACAATTAATGATTAAACAAATTAGAAATTTTATTATTTTTTAATATCATGTTTAACTATAAATTACAAAATGCAAAGTTAAAACAGAGATCATACAATTAATTTACAATCAAGGCTGATTATCATCATCATGTCACAGAGAAATAAAAAAATTTAATTTATTTTTAGCTACTTAGTTATAATAAGTCTGTTATCTCATTTAAGTAATTTCTCTTGAATAGTTACACTTAATAGTTTCCAGGAATCAATAATTTATTTTGATTAAATGGTTTTTTTTTTTTTGAAACTTTTATAATTTTATATTCAGATCTGCACAAAAAGATAAATGTTTGAGCAAAGAATAAATTTAAAATAAAATATGTTGTCTGTGTTACAAAATATTAAAAAAGAAAAAAAAATACAAAGTCCTCCATAAATTTAAATATAACCATACTGCAATACAACAAAAAAATTAAATGTTAAATTATTTTTGTAATGTTAAAACAGTTATTAAAAATTATTTTACTATTATTATACAATAGATTGTACAATTATTATATTGTCACAGTTTAGATTTTTTGGTACTAATAATATTTCAAGGAAAAATTTAAAAAATAAGCAAGATAAAAACATTTATTTTAGTATTTAAGGATATTTTGTTAACACATCACTTTTTAAAAATCTAATGTAAAAATTTTGATTTTCAAAGAAGAAAATTGCATTAAGATCAGTAATATGCTGCCATTATTTCTCTCTTGCTTCAAAGATTTAATTGAGGATTTCAAGTATCTATAGCAAATTCTGATTTAAAAGTTTGTTGTAATCTGTATATATTTTGTTTGATATTAGTTATATATAAAACTGCCAAAACAGGTTCTTGTGAATAACACAAACTATTTTATTGCTTTTGAATAAAAGTTACATAATAGCTCTATGCAAACAAAGTTACCAAATACAAAAGAATGAACTGATCAGAAGAAAAAATGTGATAGTTATGGCTTTCACATATGGATTTGGCTTTTACATTTCAATGATATATTTGGCCAAATATCATTGAAATATAATATATATCATTGAATATGCCAAAATATATCATTGAAATGTTCATTGGTGATATTTATCTAATAGTATGTGCAATGCAAGTTTGATGATGATTTCATTCTAACAATGACATTGTTGATTAAGTTTTATGGTAGTAATTTCCATTCTTGTAAAAAGACCTGTTGGAGCTCTGAAAGAGTACAAAGTGGAATACTGTGACTTGCAATCCATCTTCCTAGCATGTCCCATACATACATTATCAGATTAAGTTTCGGTGATCTTAGAGACCTTTAATTACGAAGAATGTTTTACTCTGCAGGTATCTCATCCAGTTGCACTTTGTGAGGTTGTCATTACCATCTATTAATACTGTACATAGATCCATTGTAGCAATAAATGGACAAATATATGGGTGTAGAATTTTATCTCAGTTCAGAGCACCTGTCAATGAACATTTAGCTTTTAAAATGTGAAACTCATTGTGGTTGTTTATTGCTATCCCTGCCTACTTTAACCCTGTCCCATAACAGTCTTTTTCAAGAGTGTTTGCTGCATGGTGTTGGATCTCTGAGTTTTTCTCTATATCAAAATTTGGCAAGAATCACTGAAGATTGAATCATGATTTGTCAGTAAAGAATATTTGATGTCACTGAATATTACAAGGTCTCTGTAAGTCCGCACGAAAAATATAAATTTTAAGTTTAGCGGTAGACCAACACACAGCTGTTAGCTAATGACTTCTCTTTATTTAATTACTGTAGATGCATTTCGGTCCTATTAAGGGACCCTCTTCAGTACCGTAAAATATAAACATTTTTAATAAACTCTTTTGCGAGTAAAAATATCAATATAACAATTCACATTTTAGTTTTACATTACCATTTAGAATACACAGCTTTGATTATACATTCCATTAACACTTTCATATCAAGTGTATTAAATATCTTTTTTGACTATCTATGGTTGTGTTTCTAAATTACTGCAATAAATATTATTCTAAATTAGATCTTTATAAGTTTACCTAATAAGACAAATTTTTAAAATTATTTTTAACAAATTTTAAAACCTAACTTCTAAAAAAGTTTTTTAAAAAGTGGAAGTTAAACAAACAATAACGTATAAAAATTAATTTTTAAGATACATACTGTTTGTATTATTCTATACGGTGATAGCCCATGAACTATACACATCCATAGCACACAACAAAACACACCGAAGACAACCATTCAACGGTCCGTTATCGGAACTATTCTGAATAACACTCCCTCTATTGACTATTCTACCTCATGACGTCATCTTTTAATTTCTTCTATTACTGGATACCATCTTTGATCTATTTGCATTTCACTGGAAACATTTATTAATCGATTGCTATTTTTATTATTATATTTCATTATTTCAACATGTTCTTTAAATTTTCTCTTATAAATATCCCTTTCATTATGCAATATTTGTACACTATTTTTATCCAATTTACAATTATTATTCTGAATTACATGATTATACCAAGGAGAATTACTATTTTTTAACCGAATAGCGGCCTCTTGTTCTTTAATACGTTTTTCTAATTTACGGCCTGTTTCACCTCTGTAAATTTCTGGTATATTACATTTACAATTTATCTTATATACCGTCCCTTTTTTTTTATCGATTTTATTTGAATTTGTATGTATTTTAATATTGTGAAAAAGTTTATTTGTCAAGGACGGGGCTAAATTTACGTCTTCATTCTTTAAAACCTTAACACAGTTATTATAAATGCTGTCTATATAAGGGAAACTACTATAATTTTGTTTTTTATTCTGTTTAGTATTAAATTTATTTTTTTCCCATTTACTATACCATTTTTTTAATATATAACTAGGGTAATTATTAAGGGCAAATTTCTGATTAAGTTTATTAATTGCAATAGTCTGGTCGCTATTATTAGTAACTCTACTATATATTTTTCTTATTTCCATTAAATAGACATTCTTTTTTATATCAATTGGAGCACTCAAATGATAATTCATAGTTTTTTCAATATTCGGAAATTTTTTATATGTTGTAAATAAACATATTAACAGCAGTCATAAGAAATTTAATTAAAATTTGATGTCACTACTGCAGGCTTCGGCACAACTGAAGCCTGCAGCAGTGATGTTCCCAGATTTAGATACATACATGAGACCACAATAGGTGGACATATGAACAAGTGATCATCTTGTAATAGTCCATTCTCATGCAGTCTAAGCAATACAGTTAGTCATCTTCCTGTGGCAGCAAAGAAGTCATGATGCCTTGCACATTGAAGCAGAAAGTGACTGTCTGCCATTGATGTAATCCTTGGACATCAGAACCAGGTCTTCAGAGAGCATATGAATCCTTTGATACTGATTCCAAAGCTGATGATGCACGTTAAACTATTTGGCCTTTTTGGGTTGTTGTTGACTAGCCTGTAGCACTCCTGCAACATTCCAATATATTTCATTGTCTGAATAATTCCTTCTACTTGTTGAAAATTTTCCAATTCACACTTTATGATCACACTTTTATGATATTAAATATGAATCCAAATGAACTGTCTTATAAAAGTACATAGTTCCAATGCCAGGACTATTTATGCAAATTTCCTTTGCATTTTTGAAATCATCACTAAATTTTAAAACAATCAAACAACTCTGTGCACCACATTAGAAAAAAAACTTGAAACTATTGAAGGAGTCAACTATTTAATAGATAAAATGCTTTTTGGAATTTTATAATTCCATCTTCAGATCTACTACATTCAACATTAATATTCTAATGATTTGAACAGAACAACTCTGTGCTTACAAACTCTAGAACCAAACTGAGTAGAAAGTTTGAAACCTTAAGACATGAAATCTATAAATTAACTGATAC